GTGAGTGAGTGAGTGTGTGTGAGTGAGTGAGTGAGTGAGTGAGTGAGTGAGTGAGTGAGTGAGTGAGTGAGTGAGTGAGTGAGTGAGTGAGTGAGTGAGTGAGTGAGTGAGTGAGTGAGTGAGTGAGTGAGTGAGTGAGTGAGTGAGTGAGTGAGTGAGTGAGTGAGTGAGTGAGTGAGTGAGTGAGTGAGTGAGTGAGTGAGTGAGTGAGTGAGTGAGTGAGTGAGTGAGTGAGTGAGTGAGTGAGTGAGTGAGTGAGTGAGTGAGTGAGTGAGTCTGTGTGAGTGAGTGAGTGTGAGTGAGTGAGTGAGTGTGTGTGTGTGTGTGTGTGTGTGTGTGTGTGTGTGTGTGTGTGAGTGAGTGAGTGAGTGAGAGACAGTTATATCCTGTATAGTGTCGAATGGCGATACTACACCAGTATCGTGAAAAGCTCATACTGTGGCAGCCCTAGTTAGTACGATTCCAAACACAGCCCAGGCCGTCAAGTGAGAGGAGTGAGGGATTGTGGGAAGTGCGTTACCGTATCTCGTTGTTGATGGCATCCAGCTGCTCCTGCAGCATCAGAGCGAGCGTCTGAGCGTCTGCCTGTCCAGCAGGAGACAGGAGTTCCATGGAGCTCAAGACCGTCTCTCTGTCGTCCTCCACGTCTGACACGTCCATGTCGCTCTCAAACGCGTGAGCCACGCTAGCCAGAACATTAGCCTGCTGCAGCCGGTCCCACTCCTGCTCGTCCAGCGTCTGCACCTGACGGTACGACACACAGCACACGAACACGAAACACTAGCAGTAGACCAAATAACTTATTTCTGCTGGTTTCCACAATTTTAAAATGACATCCATTATTTTGACTGATAAAAAACAAGACAGCCCATCAATTTTCCTGTTATCAAACAGGATATAAATAAGTAGGCTATTATTATTATTTTATTAAATAAAATATGAATCACGGTTATTGTAGTTAACTAAAACAAATTAAAACCATAAGAAGTATTACTTGAATAAAATAAACCAATTAAAATAAAATAAAAATCAACAAAGCAACATTTCTCATTTTAATTTAGTTTAATTTGATGTACTAATAACTATACAAAAAAAAAAAACTACTAAAAATGACAAAAAAAAAATCCCAATTTAAATTAAAGTGGAAAGGGAAAATATAAAAATAAAGAATTGATTCAACATATTAATAAAAACTAGAACAGTATCTCAGAGACACTAAAATATCACTGCTATGAATGTATTAGTATTCCAAGTCCATTATGTTTATATGTGACTGAACTCATGAGAATCACAGAACGCACCGCTCCACAGAGAATAAATCTGAGCGGGTTTCATCACCGCAGATGTATTTGTCTGTCTCGATGGGGCTAATATTTTAGATGCTCAAGGTACAGAAGCGTGTGTTTTGTGGGTGATGTTCACCTTTAAGGGCTCGTCTCCCAGCGCAGACACACGGCCCTTCTGCGGTCGTCTGAGCACCAGCGCGCCGCTGCAGTGACTGTCCATCGCTGACGACACCGACACCGGGTACCTGAAGTCCGGCGTGCCGCTCGCGTGAGAGCGCCTGCGGAAATAAAGCCAACATCAGTGCACCGCACAGAGCAGAACGAGCAGGTGGATTCTCATTAGAGTCCTGGAGTTACCCATGATGCAGCAGAGAGTTGCTCCTGCTGCGGCCGCGCTCGTGTTCGGCCCTCATGCTCTCGATCTGGATGAGCAGCTGCTCCTGAGGTCACAGGTCAACACTCGTGAGCAAACAGAAATCACAGCGGATCACGAGTGGGTGGGCGGCACACACTGACCTTCTCATGATGAGCCTCTTCTATCAGCTTCTTGGTGTGCTCCAGATCCCGGATCAGAGCGTTCTGCGTCACACACACACACACACGAGACAAACGGAGTCAAACCGTTGCGTGTAGAGGTCGACTGATATAGAGTTAAAATATGAATAAAAAGGAAGTGTTCGCTGTAACTAACCAGAGCACTTATTAATGACTAATGAAGATGGAGAACTAGTGGTTCAACGGATCACAAAACTCACGGTTCGGATCATATTAGGGTTTTTGAGTCACGGATCAGCAAGAAAAAAAAAATATTTCAATGTAATAAATATTTCAACGCTCTCAGATTGGTCCTGAATCACTCTGAAGCGATGACTCCTACATAGAAATTTTAAAACTAAATTAGGAGCTCTCTGAGAGGATTCTTAGAATCTTTAAGAACACGGGCCCAGTTCTCTTCTACCTCTTCTTGCGCTGGAATGGTTCAAAACCGCTTGAGTGTGTAATCACCAACAAATGATAAACTTTCTCTCTATTGTGGTCACATTTTTCAATTAATGGGCGGATCACATGCGTGCCGAACCGTGGGGCGTACGGATCGTGGATCAGCTCCGATCAGCGGTCAGTGTTTAGTGAGAATTAAATGCAGCTGATACATCGGCCTTGACTGTATTTGGGTTGAGCACTAGGGATGTTGAGTCGCACCTTGTCCTCCAGCGCAGACATGCGCTCCTTCAGGTGCAGCTGCAGCCTCTCATTGGATTCAGACAGCAGTTTGTCCACCGTCTCCGACAGACGTTTGTTGTGCTCTTCGTTCATCTTCTCTCGCTGACGTGCCTTAAAACATCATATCCGAATAAAGCAGCTGTTGTGTTCGTACTACACTGCGAGTGAGTCTGAGGTCTGAAGATCACTCACCCTGAGCAGCTCCTGGTTCTTCTCCTCCAGCTGAGCCTCCATCTGTCTGAGACGCTCCTCCACGTTCCCGTGACGCTCCTCCGCCTGCGAGAGACACACGCATGAGAAACTACAACAGATGAGAACGAAAGAACGGTTCATCATGCTGCGACAGAAAACAAGCCCAACTTTCACGAGCGAAAGGTGCGCTGCGTCTGGAGTTAGTGAAGACAGTTAGAGCGACGTGTGAAAGATCTCAACCGGTGTTCGGTTCACACGAGTGGAATGATGGACTCCTGACAGACGCCAGCATGAACCAGATCACAATCACATGACGATCATCAGGCAGAATCAGGGATGTGCACAAGTAACCGACTAGTCGAGTACTCGCTCCACAACAAACACGACTAGGAAAAAGGGCAGATGCAGATCCGCGTTTAAGGAGGAAAGTATATTTAGCTGTTTCTGCACTGCTGTTACCAGGTTAAGATGTTAAAACAGCCTATTTTTAAAGTGTTAACCAACTAAATGTGGCATTCACAAGTCATTTTGAACTGATTTTTTTGACTCAAGTACTCGACTAGAAAATGACTTGAAACGTCCATCCCGAGTCGGAACGACAGCGCGAGCTGGTGTACCTTCATCTGTGAGCGACTGTCCTGAGAGACACTGCACGCAGAGCGCTACACACACACACACACACACACACACACAGGAGAGAGAGAGAGAGACACACACAGACACACAGAGCTGCGGTCATATACAGAGGAAGAGAGGGGGAACATGAGGAAGACTTGAGCTCTATGAACAGCAGAAGTGACACAATTAAAAAGGAGAAAAGGCACCAGACGACAAGACGGTAAAAACACTGCAGTGTCTTCGTTACTCTGTTAAACGCACAGATCCTCCCGTCTGCGCTGATGTTCCTCCTACATCTGTGTCCGTCTCACACATTTCACTAAATAAACTATTTGTGTGATTCACCAACTCACTACAAGCACGCAGCTTCACGCCAGGACCACACACCGCCAAACATTTACACTCCGTTAGCAGACGAATGATCATTCCTTCAGCATTTCACTTCATCAATCATTACAGCTGGTGTCTCCGGCTTCATCTGTGTTTGAAACAAACCTGCATGTTGCTTGCTGAGTTTTCTTTTTCAGTGGTTTGTTGAAAAAATTAATCTGACGAAATTAGAATCATATTCTGTTGTCTAATATTGCGCGCACACAGAAGACGCTTTGAGAAGTGTTTTTCCGTAAACAGATCAGGATTTAAACAAACTAAAACCACCTGGACCTAACTGTGCACAGTCCATATACTCTTGAAGACGTTCACGCTGTTTACTGCAAACTGCCGACTCCAGTGAACAAACAATAAACTGAACGCGATTCTAAACTCTGCTTTTCATTTAACGCACAACACTTACAAATAAAACCCAATGTGTGAGTTAAACACTCGGATCACATGCAGGTGTTATGAAATTATATTCACACCACAAAACAAACTGAACAGACGTTTCAGTATTAAGGTTGGGCCGATGGCTGATAGACATCACGATGTTGAGCCGGCATCGTGCTCCTGAGACGTGTATCGAAACGGATGTTTCTGTATTGATACAGCAACAAATGCCATGATGCAGTTTTGGAAAAACAGAAAAAACCATTTTAAGTTAAATAATTTTTTTTTTACTCTAATTAATCTCGAATTTTCATTGCAGTTATATCATTGGGTAATTATACATCATATATATCTCGGGCATCAGGGAGCCGCTAGTATACCTGGCATTGAATATACTCTGTTTATGGAGCAGCAGTACTTACCACACATTTTACAAGATTATATGTTTGTCAGTGGTACTGAGGATCTACAAATAATTAGACAGCATCACTGATTATAATGAGTTCTATACACTGATCTATATACTGTATAATGAATCTCTATTATAGATCAGTGGTTCTATGCCAATTTTGTAGACATCGCCCAACCCTGTTCAGTATAAGTTACAAACAGGAAACTCCAAATAGATTTGTTTTGTGGAGCCACAAATAAACAGGAGCAGCCACGAGGGAACGTGCGTGTCCTATTTTACATGAAAAACAGATCAAAAACAGTTTCATGATGTGCACGCTAAACAAAAACAAGACGACAATACTGTCACTGTAACATTTTTATCATTAATCAGTGGTCAAAAAGAAAACAAACAGCTGCTTCTGTCCTCTGAATGGTGTGGCTGTGTGACTTTGTTCCTGGGAGGCCGACAGTGGAATCACAGCCTGACTGTGGCCCGCTGACAGCATGATGATAGCATGTGTGAGCCGTACCTTAGTGAGGGCCACGACTCTCTGCGCCAGCTCTGCCTCCACCTCCGGCAGCGTCTCGGCCTTACGCATGGTCTGCTGCAGCTTCTGCTCTGCCAGCTCCAGACGCTCCTGCAGCTGCCTGCCCTTGTCCTCCATCTGCACACACACGCACACACGAACGCACACACATGCATACACGCACGCACGCACACGCAAACACACACACACACGCACGCAAACACGCACGCACACACACTCACATTCAGACACGCACACACACACACACACACACACACATACATACATACATACACACGTGCATGCATGCACACACACATGCCTGAATTACAGCCAGAACCCAAAACTGCGGGCCGACAGCAGCAAGTGACGACTCAAACTTCATTGCTTAGATCAGTGGTTCTTAAACCTGTCCTGGAGTACCCCCAGCCCTGCACATTTTGTATGTCTCCCTCAGCTATCACACCTGATTCAGCTCATCAGCTCAATAGTGGAGACTGCAAGACCTGAAGTGGTTGTGTCAGATACAGGGAGACATACAAAATGTGCAGAGCTGGGGGCACTTCATGGAGAGGTTTGAGAACCACTGGCTTAGAGTATAAAACAGATTTTTTCAAATCAACTTTTTACTTAAATTGTTGAAAATTAAATCAGTAATGATTATTTGATGACTGGTAAATGTTGTTAAATTAGGAAGACACCTCAGGCTGTGTTTGTTATAGAGAATGAGCTGGTGCTTTTCAGCTGGTTTGTGGGTAACTGAGTGAATAAATGTAACAGCACCCGGTGACAATGTTCTGTTTTCTACAAGCATAACATGATAGGGCTGCAGACCTGGCAGACCAGCGAGTCCTTGTTGGCGATCTCGTTCTCCAGTTTGTCGTTGAGGTCGTGGACAGACGTGGCTTCTCTCTGAGCCGCTAGGTAGCGCTTCTCCAGCGTGGTGATCCTCTCCTCCATGTCTTCCTTCTGAGCCAGAGACTGAGAGAAACAACAGAAGCACGCGGTCACTAACTGGCTCGTTCGATGCGCTCCTCTGCGGACGCCGGCTCTGCTGTCGTACCTCTCGTAAGTCTCTCTGCAGGCGGCTGTTGATGTCCTCGGACCTGATGAGGTCTTTGCGGGCCGTGTCCAGATCCTCCTCCAGCTCAGCGACGTGGCTGCAGAGAGACGCCACACGCTCCTTCAGGTGCAGGAGCTCCTTACTCTGTCTGTCCATCGCCTCCTGCAGCTCCCCGTCCTTCCCACAATCCTCCTCTGCACCCATAGAGACGTCTGACAAGCGCTGCTGTGAACACACACTGTGCTTTACACTGGAATGTGAAGACTTCAGGAAACTGACAGTATGTTCAACAGAACGCTTTCGTGTGAATCATTTCATGGAAAAACCATTATGCTTCTGTTTCTCAGGTCGAAGGAAAAGAAAGAAAGCCATGCTTGAACTTCAAGAAAATTTGAGATATATATATTGGGATAAGTATGTTTTTTTTTTCTTTCTTTTTTGAAAGAAATTAAAACTTTTATTTAGCAAGGATGTGTTAAACTGATAAAAAGTGACAGTAAAGACTTATATGGTTAGAAAAGGTTTCTATTTTGAATAAATGCTGTTCTTTTGAACTTTTTATTCATCAAAGAATCCAGAAAAAAGTATCACATTTTCCAAAAAATACAGTTTCCAGCATTGCTAATAAAGCAGCATATTATACTGATTTCTGAAGATCATGTGACACTGAAGACTGGAGGAATGATGCTGAAAATACAGCTGCGCATCACAGAATGGAACAAAGCAGCATTATTTTTCAGCTGTTCAGGTCGTGTTGGAAAGAGCCGGAACTTAGAGTGGCTCTATGTACGATTATGTTTATATGTAAATACAAGCCTATAAAGCGATTATGCCTGTTCAGAAGACTTCAGATTAAACTGCTCGATTCATATCAATTACTCTTATCATGTCTCTTTGCAGCATGTAAGTTTTGGTCGTGTGGTGTTTACCTTGCCATTCGTGTTTGGTGCTGCATCAAAGCTGTGATTCACTTCTGCTGCCCCATCAATCATCACCCTCTTCTGATAGCCCTGCTCCTTCAGAAACACCAGCTACAAGAAGCCAGAGACAAGCGTTAACATTACTGTAACACTGCCTGTTCTGTGAGGCTGTGATCTGTGTGGTCTCACCTCTTTATGAGCGGCTGTGAGCTGCTCCTCCAGCATGCTGCATCTCTCCAGTGCCACACGCAGACGCTCTCTCACCTGATCAGAACAAACACGCCACACGTAAAGCACACCCCAAACACGCCAGCGGCACACACGTGAGCTTCCTGATGCCAGTACCTTCTCATCCAGGGCTTTGTGGTGCTCGAAGAGAGATTTGAGCGCCTTGAGCACCTCCACCTCACTGGAGACGCCGGCGGGAGACTGAGCCTGACGCTTGACTACGGTCATTCTCAGAGAACGCTCGTGACGTGACACCAGACACTCCAGATGCTCCAGCAACAACTGAGATCAGCAGCCAACACAACACAGACCACGCTCAGACTGACATCAAACCAAAGGGAGAAACACTGGGCGTCCAAACAAATCACACTTATCATCATATCAGCCTTCGGAAGCATTGGAAATCCTCCAGAAATTCTCCAAATCCTAATTTTTATGTTTTCATATTTAAAAAAAAAAATCTATGTACGTACATTTATAACACTACACTTTGTATTATAATTCCTTCGCTTCAAATGACAAAGAACTACCGCTGCTGTGAGGCTGCGTCTAATGCGCCGTCTATGGGAGTGCCCGTAAATTTGTCATCGTTCTCTTCTGACACTATCGTGGAGTTTTGCAAACAATACATCTGTGGTAGTCTCCCATTCACTGCTATAGAAGTTTACCCAACTATGACGACTGTCACTGTTGAGGAAGCCAGAAATGTGAGAAAGGTCCATTACTGTGACGATGAGGCTAAAATCAGTGCCATTAATGACGGATGATGTTTGATTGTATTATACTGTATATTGTATTTGACTGAGCCTGGTTTCTCCCAAGGTTTTTTCTCCATTCTGTCACCGATGGAGTTTTGGTTCCTCTGGCTTGCTTAGTTGGGGACACTTAATTTCCAGTGATATCGTTGACTTGATTGCAAATGATTGCACAGACACTATTTAAACTGAACTGAGCTGGATGATGACATCACTGAATTCAATGATGAACAGCCTTTAACTGAACATTGAGTGTTTGCTATTGTCATGTAGCATTTATTGACACTATTTTCCTATTTAATGCAGTACAGTTGCTTTGACACAATCTGTATTGTTAAAAGCGCTATATAAATAAAGGTGACCTGACTTGACTTGACAAAAAATGCATAAACTAAATAATTAACAAAAACGAACACATTTGTGCATGCAAGTAAATGTGTGTGAGAACTCACGCGTGTGTTGTTTCTCTCTGCTTTCAGCTCGGCGATCTCCTCCTCTCGCTCCAGCAGCTGCTCTCGACACATATTCACTTCTTTTGTGAGAGCAGCAAATTCCTTCAGTGTGTGAAACACAAGAAAACACGATTTTAAACAGGATTCTGCTTAAAGTGGCACACAGTGATCCATCAACTCAAACAGCACTCAGTGGAATCAGGCAGTCAGCAAGATGAAGCTATTAATCAAAAATTATTTTATTTTCATCAATCAGTAGTTGCAGCACTATATAAAACCATAAAGGAACAATATGAACGGGATGACTTTTCTTTGTACAGCTGACAAACACTAAAACATCGACTGCCGATTAAAACCGTAAAGTGCTCGCTGCAGTTACGCTCACAGAGTGATGAGCAGACGGTTGGTTTATGCTGCTGGTGAGACAGACACAGACGTGCCAGCGGTTACCTGCGGCAGGGCGCTGTTGAGCTGTCTCTGCAGCGAGTCTCTCTCGTGGCTGATCTCGTGCAGTTTGCTCTGCGTCACACACAGGTTCTCCTGCGTCTCTCGGAGCGTGTCCAGCAGTCGGTCTCTCTCCTCCAGCATAGACACCATCAGAGACTCAAAGTGGCCCTCAGAGTCCGTCTGCACGGGAGAGCCGGGGCCCCGACCGCCTCCGTTACTGCCGACCTCCGCCTCGCTGATGGTGGGCATCACCTCGCACATCATCTACACACAGACAGCACAGCGTTACCACACTGACACAGACCAGAAGCTCTGGACTGTGTTACTGACTTCACAGAGTCTGTGAAGGTCCTGGACAGAGAGAATGAGCGAGCGACAGAGGACAGTAATAAAAACCAAAAACAAATAAATAAATAAATTTTTTTTACTTGCCCACTTTGTTTTTATTATACTTTGTTTGGTGTAGTGGCTGTTAGGAAGGATTAAATGACTCTGAAATAGTAGCAATATTTTGGTAAAGTGATGTAATTAATGACCAGACACGCAACAGACAGAAGACCAGACCCGCAACAGACAGTAGACCAGACCCGCAACAGACAGAAGACCAGACCCGCAACAGACAGTAGACCAGACCCGCAACAGACAGAAGACCAGACCCGCAACAGACAGAAACAGCAACAGACAGCAGAGTAGTACAGGTGTTTGTTTACCTTGATTCTGAGCAGGGTATAGGTCTCCTCTTCTCTACTGTATCCAGCTCAATCACAGCTCACACATTTAAAATATCAACAATGACGCAAATTATTCGTCAAGCCATAAAACCTAACGAATCACTTTTTTTTTTTATTATCTGACGAAGAATAAGCGAAAAAAATAAAGAAAACAAGCCAGGCCTTTATGATGAATGAGAACATCCCTCATTAACGCTACTAGAGATCTGAGTGTTTAATGCTGGAGAAGACATCACTGATCGATCACAGACCTCCGTCAGACGCTCACTGCCACTCATACCCTCTGATACTCACACTCCAGATCAATACCCAGCTACTCACACTCTCCAACAGCGGCCTGCGCTAGCTAGCATTAGCAGCTACAGTAAGAAGAATCTATCCTCAAGCAAGCGCAGGAATAAAACCAGTTAGTCTTTAAAATAAACACTTAAAGCCGACGCTTGATGACGTGCTGTACTAGTGAAGTATAAAGGAACGCAAGGCGGTAATGAGCGTGAATTACTGTGACGCGTCAGCGTCTGATCCGTGAGGAAAACACCGGGACACAAGTACAACCCGACCCCTTTAACGGCGCAGAGCGCGCTTCAAACGACACTATCCGCGAGAAAAGTCTTTCGTCGGCCGGGCTGAGGTCGAAAAACAACAACTAATGCAGAAAAGAAGAGTTAAAACGAAATTTACAGCGAGAGTTTGTCGCTGCTCCAGTTTCCTGCGCTCGCGAGAGCTCGGGACGTGCTGACGTCACGACGCAATCCCCGAATCCCAGAAGAGTCGAACGATGAACGTGCTGACGTCACGACGCAATCCCAGGAGAGTCGAAGCTCATTATTTTTGGAATCTGATGACGTAATCCAGATGACATTTAAGCGGTTCTGCCCAGCTCGGGCCCAGACTGACCACGTGATACAGTACGGACAAAGGGACGAGCACATTGAATTAGAATCATATTTAATTAAAAATCAAATAATAACATCGAATAAAAAAAGTCACCTCAGGCTGTTTCAAACAGACAAAAACAGTGTTTAAAAGCCATTTGATTCTCTTTTGGTAAGAAAAGAAACGCCACAAATTTGACAAAATAATTAAAAAGGTTCAGACTAACCTCAACCACACTGCCTTATTTGTATAAAAACACTGTAATTCCCAGTAACTAAATATATAAACAATAACACAACATTACAGAAAGATCGGTCTTCACCAGTGGGCGGCGCTCTCGTCACACCAAAGGGCGGGGCCTGTGTTACTGGGGCGGGGTCTACGGTGAGTGGGCGTGTCTTCACGGTGTGTCATGTCTGCTGTGTTTCTTTCTTCTTCTTCTTCTTCTTCTTCTTCTGCTGCTGCTGTGTTCCGTGGCGCCACGTTGATCGCGCGATCATCATCAGACTGCAGGTAACACCTGAACACGCTGCACGAGCGAAAGCAGATCAAAGCTCGCGATCTGCCTGATTATAGTGTCTCTTTCGCGCTTTTGGAACTTTTTGAACGTGGTGTTGTGTGTTAGCAATGCTAACTGTGCTTGTAAAGTGACCAGCACGATTAATCAAGTGTTTGTGAGCGTTGTTAAGTGTGTTTCTCAAGCTGCATTTGTATAACGTGTTTATTAATAAGTTTATGGATCATCCGAGTGTCTGAATAACAGCACGACACGTGTCAGTGAAGAAGACCTCGTTTTGTTATTATTATTCAGCTGTTGTAGTTTAAACTGTGCTGCATTTAACGCTAGTCTGTCATGAAGTGACCCATCTGAGTAAATGAGAAACGAAACGAGCGGTGTGTGTGTGTGTGTGTGAGAGAGTGTGTGTGTGTGTGTGTGTGTGTGTGTGTGTGAGAGTGTGTGTGTGTGTGTGTGTGAGTGTGTGTGTGTGTGTGTGTGAGAGAGTGAGAGAGTGTGTGTGTGTGTGTGTGTGTGTG